AAAAGAACCTGTCCATGGTTATGGAATTAATATGTTGCAGAGCTTAGATTTAAAGAGCCGTCTTACTCCAAGAAGGTTTTTTTTCTTCTTCTTCTTTTTTCCTTTTCTGGTAGAGCACCCTGTAATTGAAGTCCATGTAGTTAATTATATCAGGTCTTGAACCTATAAGCCTACACCTCTCTCCCTTTTCAACCCGTTTCTGATTTTCAAGCTCAATTTTATGTATTCTTGTAGTCCACTAGAGGTCAGTATTGGGCTGATAAAGAAAGGAGCCTTTGGCTTTTGATTCACAGAATTTTAACTCTTTGAGTCTTATTGCTAGGAACCCTTGGAAGTTGTATTCACAACAAAACTTTATTTAATAGCATGTGTAATGACAGTTGTAAAAGTTTTAGTAGCTACATTTTTAGGTGAATAGTTCAGGTTAGGTAATTCTTATGGGTCGCCACCCCTGCCTCCCCATCCACCTTCTAATAGGTAGGAGAATATCCAAATCATGTCTTTTACAGATATCCCTCTCTTTTATTGGGCCAGATCTCATTCTTAAATAAGTTTCTTTTGTTATCTTTTGCCTTTATATAGTAAACATTTATCTGAATTTACTGTGTATGTGTCACTGTATCTGAGCTTGTGGGATTCTCATAATGGTGAAGTATGTTTCCTGTCCTAAAGAAGAGAAGAGTTATACACTGAAGTGCCATACTGTTATTTTTTACTTGGATATCTGACAGGTTTATTGAACTCATCTTCTCTATCCTACCTTCAACTAATTATTTCCACGGTTCCTATTGTTTGGAATGATCCCACCATCTAGTCATAAAGACCAGAATACTTGGAGTTATTTTTATTTCCTTCCCCTCTTCCATGTACTACATTTAAATCAGTAAATTCTGTTGCTTCTACTTTTTCTGTAGCTGCTGCTACCTTAATTCAAGTCCTCATCATTGTTATTTGGACTCCTTTCATGATCTATATTGGTTTTCCTGTTTCTATTTTTTATCTCCTCCTAGTTGACCATTCCTCCGCTCCTAGGGGATTTGCCTAAATTGTAAAGCTGATCCTGTTCTTCCCCTGCTCACATTCTTCTGTTGTTTCTCCGTTGCCTACTAGCTAACCTTGAAACTGCTTTGTATGGCATCTTCAACTTTATCTCTTGTTAGTCCTTCATAACCTATGTTCTTATACAAAATTATTTTTTCCTTGTGTGGATAATGTTGTTTCACATGTGGTGGTCTTTTCTTATCTGGTTTCTTTCTTCTGGAATGGTTACCCTTCTATGTACTTCCCTTTGGAAAAATCGTATCTTTTTTTTTTTTTTTTTTTCGGTGAGCAGGCCTCTCACCGCTGCGGCCTCTCCCGTTGCGGAGCACAGGCTCCAGATGCGCAGGCCCAGCGGCCATGGCCCACGGGCCGAGCCGCTCTGCGGCACGTGGGATCCCCCCAGACCGGGGCACAAACCCGCGCCCCCCGCATCGGCAGGCGAACCCTCAACCACTGCACCACCAGGGAAGCCCCATATTCATCTTTTAAGAGCACAGTTTGCTACCTCTTCCTCTGTGAAGTTCCTTACATCCCTACAAGCAGATATGATTACTTTCTCCTTTGTCTAATCACTGCACCTGTATTTATTTCTATCTTTATACTCTTTGCACTGAATTTCAGCCCCTCAATTGCTTACCTACTTCTTACAATAGAATGATGTGAGGTTCAAGAGTCAGAGAATCCATCTTATTCTTTGTATACCCAACTTCTTTGTATACTCAGTGCAGTATCTGGTGCCAAGTAGATATTCAATACATGTTTGACTGAAAGCAGTGATACAGAGAGAAAACACTGAGTTAGAACAGTGAGAGGAGGCTTCCTAAAGGAAGAATAATTTTACTTGGGTTTTGGAGGAAAGGTTGGATACAGGCAGGGAGAGGTCTTCTAGAAGGGGAATGGCATAAGCAAAGATACAGTAGTGGAAATATTTTTAGTATATTATGAGGTAGATTCTGATCCAAGTAGAAGATTCATGTTGGAGAGTATTGGATAATACATTGGAAAATTAAGTTCAGCTTCCATTATTGTGGAGTCTTAGTGATAAGATTATGGAGTTTGAATTTGTACTTGTTCAGATTGTTTCCCCCAGTTTACCTCATGTTTAATTGGTGTGATGAATGATGTGGTTTAAGAAGAGCCTGGCTGCAATATGCATGGGAATTGTAATGAGGAGGTGATGAGTTCCATTTTAGGTATGTCGGAAGTGAAGTGATGGTAGAACACACAGTAGTAATATGAAACTAGAGATATGCTACTGGGTCTTGGGAGAGTGGAAAGAGTGGTAGAAGAGTAGGGGCTGAGGAATAAACCTTGCTTAATTTCTGTATATTAGGAAACCAGAGAAGAACACATGTGAGGAATCTTGAGGAAGAGGTGGGTAAATGTGTAAAGATTATTCACAAAGAGAATGAACAACCAAGAAGAAAAGAAGCCTAAATGCTTTCTTAAGTCTATTTGTGTGCTTGATACCCTTTTACCTCTACTGCAACCTAGGCAGCAGAAATCAGTAGCTGCTTCTTCGGCTCCAAGGTTGTCTTTGGAGGGACAGAGTAAATGGTCCTGGTGAGGCGGCTTGGCATGTTAGGAAAGAGCTCTGAAGAGCTTTTATTATTATTATTTTTTTAAGGACTTTAGAGTCACATGTTAATTTTAATATATATTGCATATATTTACATATTTGTATCTATGTTTACTCTTCTCCACTTCCTGCCATAGTATACATTTTGAATAGATGGTAGTTTTCCTTTGCTTCCTAATGGGTAATAACTGAGTATTTATTTCGTTGTTCTACCTGTTTTAGTATTTCCAACTTGGCCAGTTCTTTCTTGGCAGATCTGCCCTGACTGCTCATTTATAGACTGGAGAAGCCTTGATAATTTTGACAGAGATCCCGGGTTCTCATAGAGACTTGGAATAAAACTTGCCGTGCTCTCATTTCTAGCATAGGGTTTGCTATTTTAATTTGCTGATTTGGCCTAAACTGCTTTGCGCTCCATCAGATTGATTGGTAAACCAGACACACCTAAAAAGAGAACAAATCATAGATGATCTAAAATTACTTCCATAGGATACTTTCAGATTTGTATCATTTCAAGTATAAATGATAGTACTTAAGTGTGGCTCCTTTTGATTGCTTTTGGTACACTGATAGTATTTTAGTGATTGTGAAGGAAAAATATTTAACTTTGGATTCAATAAAATAAGACCAACTTATGAAAGCTTTTGGTTTTGCTGTACTGAAAGAGAGGATAAAGAGACAAGTGATTACTCTCTAGTTGAGAGCTTGTTTTTTTTAAATCTGAAAGCTTTAGATTTCTAGAGTCCTGGCTCCCTTTTTGTGTGGTTTGCATTGGAAGTAAGTGGGGGAGAACTTCTTACTTTTGAGAGAAGTAGAATGTTCTATCTAATTTGGGGTCTCAAATGCTTGGAGGGTATGTATGTCTTGTGTACAAACATAAACGTGCTTGGATACCTTCTCTCTCAGTTTTGTTACTGAAGCCATGTATTTTATGTAAGTCAAACCAAAATATCAACAAGTACTATGCAGAGAAACAAGTTAGTCCATTGATTCAAATCTCTGGAATGTAGATTCTTTTCATTTTCTTGGCAGAAACTAGCTCACATAGTTCAAGTTTTTCTCTGTCTTGTTATAATTGTCTCATTTAACCAGTACCTGGACTAACACCTTATACTGAATATTTATCTAGAATTCCTTAATCTCATTCAGAATATTTGGAGATTCTGATTTTTCTCCTGAACTAATTTCTACTTGTCACTGAGTAGAAATATCATATATTGATTAAGCAATGTATATTCTGGGAGGTCACATTTCTTAAGCTTTGTATCTTCGGATGATACTAAGTATTAGTATTATTTCTTCTAAAAAGGAAAGTTCCACTGTGAAATACTTTTGGAATGTGCTGGGTTAAACCATATTAAAGAAGTTTCCTTAAAATAGGACTTCTCCCAGTTTTTATTCTGTTAATGTGCATCGTATATCTACAAGAAGGCTTGTATAACATGCAGTGTTTCCCGTTTATTTGACCACAGAACTCTTTTTTTTCGGGAAACATTTTCATCATGCTTTGAGGGACTGTTGGTATAGTGGGAAGATCACTGATATGGAATTTAGGAGATAACACTTTGGGCTTCTGATTTATCACTTACTAGCCTTGTAGCTTCAAACAAATCCTTTGTCTTCTAGCCTATTTCCTGAGTGGTGACTAAGGTCCCTTCCAGCTCTGATACTTTGGTTTAGCTTCTTTTGTTGAGTCTGTATAGTCACACTTTCCACCTCTTTGGATCTATGGAAACCACACCATCATTTGAGTCTATTTTGTTAAGTTGAGGGAATTATACTTTTCTATAAAAGTTTAGAAAAAGAAATGCTTAAAACTCTGTTTTCCACAGACTAAGCTCATGAAATCCTGTTTAATTAGTTAGTTCAGATTACTCTATTATGATATTTCATTATCCTGATTAAAATTTATTGGTCTCTTGTATCCACATATGTGTTTCTAAGAGTCCCCTAAGCTTAAAGGCTCCTGTCCCTCTTCTCCCAACCACAGTGGTTCTAGTATAGCACCTATCTTTCAAGAGATAAACATTCAGTCATTTTTACTAATCTCTTGGCTACTTAGGTACAAATCAGTAGATTTCTTTTTTGTGATGACTTAGTGTTTGTTTTTGAAAAGTCTCATGATAATATTGACTGATTATCTTTTTTTCTATGGAAACTGGGGAAATGAATAAAGATGGGTAGCTCCAGCGTTAAAAATCTGTACATTAATATGTTTGGTTTTATTTCTGGCACTAAAACTTTATATATTAAGGGATTTTGTTGTATTTTTCTTAAGATACCAATTAGTTCAAAATTAGAAGTTCTTTGAATACTTAATTAAGTTCTGTTTCTTTTGTTTCTTTTTTTGTTTATTTGCGTGTATGTGTTTCTATCCTAGGCCCAACAACAAAGAAACCTGGATAACATCATCTTGCAACAACCCAGAATAGGTAGCAAGAGAAAACCTAAGAAAGATGCATATACAATTTTTGATACAGAGATAGGAAGCACTAGCCCCAAGTCTGAACAGGATTCAGGAATTCTGGATGTTGAAGATGAGGAAGATGATGAAGAGGTAACTAACATTTGAACCGGGGAAGTGAACCTGTTGTTACGTTTCAATATGGTATGTTTGAGATGTGATGAAGAATTTATCCATATAACATAGCTGTGTTATCTTCTGGATATTAAATATCATTTTAAATACAAATGTTCCCTGATTTAAGGAAACTGAAGATGTACTAAGATATCTTAGATTCTAATTCTTTAGACTTTAAATATACTCATCCATTTTTTTTGTTTTTTAAGTTTCAGGGTTTGTTGATTGTATACTGACTGGGTACTACATTAAGGGAAGAGTAGAGCTTACCTGACTTAGAGAAAGAGATCTATTGATAGATGATCTCCACTGAAGCTGGAACAAAGTTACTTCAGACAAATAAAAGATGTTACTTTAAACAGTAGGAGTAAACAGAGATTTCTTAGGCTTGAGAAATGGTTCAGATTGAAATTGTAAAAAGGTTCCAGAAAGTCGAGAACATATTTCTGGAGGAAATAAATGTATGAGTGATTATAGGGTATCTGGGAATTTTGTGATATATCCCTAACCTCTTAGTTCTGTGACACTTTCAGGTAAAGAATAAGATTAAGTGGCTTAACTAGTACATTTTTTTATATCCTTCTTTGTTGTTGGAAATATGTTTAATGTGTTTTTAAAAATAAAACTACTATGACATTTGAGATTTCCAGTTAAAACATTTTTGAACTACTTATCATTTGCATAAACTGGATCAGTTTTTTGTGAGTATAGTGGTTAGGTGCATGAGCTTTGCAGACTTACAGACTGCATTCAGATATTGGTTTTGCCATTTTATTTTATTTTACTGTAAAAATTGTCATTAATGATCATATTATTTACTTTTCAAATGCTCACTGACATGTGCAAGGAACCATTTACTCCTGTTCTCAGTAACCTGTTTTATCTTTAAATATTTGTCTCCTTTTCATTGTTTCATTTCTCCAGATAAAACTGGGTTCAGTGTTTCTTCTCCATCATTGTTCTTTGTTATGCGCTTACTAACCTTCTTACTCTCCTCTCCATGCCAAAATACAGCCCCCAAATTTTCACTGTCTAACTTTGCAATCTTAGGGTAATCTTGATCCCCTGAATATTTTTTAGCATTCTCTCTTGCCTGGAATGACTGGTACGGTTGGATATGGATCCACCCTGGAGATCAGATTGTCAGGGATTAGACCCATCACAGATGAAAAATTACAGTAATAGTACAATAAAACATCCGGATCAAGATAAATCCAGTTAACATTTTAAACTTACATTTTGGTTGCCCATTAAGGAAATTAAATTCTATCAGGCACTATGGCTTAAGGAAACAAGTTAAACATTGTCTGTGCCCCTGGATAATACACACCCCAAAGAGATGGTTATGTGATAAGATGAAAGCATGAAACGTACACAGTTCTCATATATTAGTGAGAACCTTCTGGATATGAGCTACTGTTTATCATTAGCTCACTGAAGATCCTGGGCAAGTCCTTTTTAATTTTTGTGCCATATTTCTTCATTGTTTTGTCTTCTGAGGTCCAAAGAGGATGAAGAAAGTACGACTAGTAAAACGTGTTGGGATCCCTCATAAAGGAAATATTGTAAGAATGTACTTGGAAGTTAACATTTTAAAATGGTTCTGTATCCCAAATCAAACAGAATTTGTATTAGAGATTTGCTGATTGAGCTCTTACAACAAGAATTCAGCACTTTGCTGTCATCTAATGGCATCCTATCTTAAAAAAAAAATCCTACCTTATATTTATTTACTTCTCAGTTTGAATCTTCTTCAAGTGCACATTCTTAATCTCAAACCTCATGTAGAGAATTATTTATTTAGATGTCTCCAAACTGGTTTCTTGGCATAGTTCTTGCATGGTGTGAATAAATTCTTCAGATAAGGTCTTCCGTGACCCACTGTGACGTTCTGACCTTCATTCTTGTCATTCTTAAACAGACCTCATTGAGAGTAGCGTAAATAGTTTTTGAAATATTTTGACTTTTAAACTGTGCCATAGAATCTAGTAGTTCTTAATCTATTTGGAGATCGTTATATTCCTGTGAGAGTTTGATAAAAAATATGGAGCCTTTACCCAGTAAAATCTATGTATATTCACTCACAAAAAGTTCTGCATGAAATTTCAGGGAATTTGTGAAACTCATGTTGCCCTTAGGACCTGAGTTAAGAGCCATGTTGTAGAGAAAGTGCTTCTTGAACTTAAATGTGCATAGGAATCACCTTGAAATCATATTTAAATGCAGATTCTGATTCTGCAGGTTGGGGGGTGAATCTGAGAATCTACATTTTTAACAAGCTCCCAGGTAAGGATGGTGCTTCTGGACCCTGGGCACACTTTGAGTTGCAAGGCTATAGTGGACCATGAGGAAGCATTTTTAGTACATAAAGCAAACAAACTCATGAATGTTTAGGTGTCCTATTGCTTTTTCATTAATATGTCCTAACATTTTTCCAGCAATGAATACAGTACTTGAAGAGAAAGTTATAGTTTGTCTTCTAAAATCTGTTGCTTGTAATAGATTACCTGCATTATTTTTCATGAAATTTTATGATTCTGATTTAATATACTTAAGTTTAGGTATATTTTTCATTCTCTGAAGAACTTTTTGCCCTTTCCTAGTGCTTTTAATGGAAGTGTACTTAATACATTCTTTGAGCCAAGTGACATTTGTACATTATTTAGTATGTTTTTAGTTTGATAATACTTAATAGTAGACCATAGAATGAGATGGGTAAGGAAAGCCAAACACCTAGAAAATAGCTTTGCACATAGTAAACAGATAGTTAATATATTGTTAAACTGAAATAAAGTTTGTGCCAGAGATGGGAAAAACTTAATAGCCTGGAGAACTGAAGATGAAGTCATAGAAGTGAATTGTCATCTTGGATAAAAAACTGACTACATGTTGAGCTGACTGACAGAGTCAGTCTCTTGATTGCTGAGAAGTGTTGCAGGAAAACTGTTCCCCTGTAAATTCTCTTCCTATTTGTATTTTATTTTTGTCTAAACTAATGAAAGGGTCGCCTTAGTTAAGTTTTTTTTTAACTTGTCTTATATTAGAGTTGAACTATATAAACTACTGATATTTGACCGTTTTTCATCAACTTAATTCAATTGGTTTTCAGTGGAAATATGTATGATTTGGGGAATTTAAAAAAATTATATAAGTTTCAAGTGTACAACATTATAATTTGAGATCTGTATATACTACAAAGTGATCACGTACCAAATGGTCACATCTGTCACCATACAATTGACCCCCTTAATGCCTTGCACCCATCCCCCAGCCCCCGTCCCTTCTGTTAACCACCAATCTGTTCCCTGTAACTGTTTGTTTTTGTTTTATTTATTTGTTTTGTTTTGTTTTAGATTCCACATATGAATGAAATCATACAGTATTTGTCTTTTTACTTCTGACTTATTTCACTTAGCATAATACCCTCAGTTCCATCCATATCATCCCAGATGGCAAGATTTCATTCTTTTTATATATAGCTGCATAGTATCATTGTGGGTATATCTGTATCTCTAGATCTGTATCTATACCTTTATCTGCACCTATATGCCACATCTTTTTTTATCCATTCATCCATTGATGGACACTTAGTTTTTTTCCCTGTCTTGGCTATTATAAATAATGTTCCAGTGAACATGGTGCATATATCTTTTTTTTTTAATTCCTCTATGTTTTTTTTTTAGCAAATTGTATTATTTATTTATTTATTTATTTTTGTCTGTGTTGGGTCTTCGTTTCTATGCGAGGGCTTTCTCTAGTTGCGGTGAGTGGGGGCCACTCTTCATCGCAGTACACGGGCACTGTCGCAGCCTCTCTTGTTGCAGAGCACAAGCTCCAGACGCGCAGGCTCTTAGTGTGGCTCACGGGCCTAGTTGCTCCATGGCATGTGGGACCTGCCCAGACCAGGGCTCGAACCCATGTCCCCTGCATTGGCAGGCAGACTCTCAACCACTGCACCACCAGGGAAGCCCCATATATCTTTTTGAATTAGTGTTTTCATATTCTTTATATATATACCGAGAAGTGGAATAGCTGGATAATGTGGTAGTTCTATTCTTAACTTTTTGAGGAATCTCTGTACTGTTTTCCATAGTGGCTACACCAATTTACAATCCCACCAACAGTATGTGAGGGTTCCCTTTTCTCCATATCCTCTCCAACACTTGTTATTTCTTAACTGTTTGTTCAAGCCATTCTAATAGGTGTGAGGTGGTTACACCTGTTACTATGGTTTTCATTTGCATTTCTCTAGTAATTAGTGATCTTGAAGATCTTTTTATGTGATTTTTGGCCATCTGTATGTCTCCTTTAGTGAATTGTCTATTCAGATCATTTCCCCGTTTTTTAATAGGGCTGTTTGTTTTTTTGTTGTTGAGCTGTATGAGTTCTCTATGTAGTTTAGATATTAACCCCTTATTGGATATACGATTTGCAAATATCTTCTCCCATTCAGTAGGTTGCCTTTTTGTTTTAATGATGATTTCCTTTGCTGTGCAGAAGCTTTTTAGCTTGATATAGTCCCATTTGTTTATTTTCGCTTTTGTTTCCCTTGCCTTTGGAGTCAGATCCAAAAAACATCACTAAACAGAAGTCAGTGAGATTACCACCTATGTTTTCTTCCAGGAATTTTATGGTTTCAAGTCTTATATTCAAGTCTTTAAACCATTTTGAGCTAATTTTTGTTTATGGTATAAGATAATGGTTCAGTTTCATTCTTTTGTCTGTAGCTGTCCAATTTTCCCAATACCACTTATTGAAGAGACTGTCCTTTCTCCATTGTATGTTCTTTGCCCCTTCATCATAAATTAATTGTCCACATATGTGTGGATTTTTTTCTGGGCTCTTAATTATGCTCCATTGATCTGTGTGTCTGCTTTTGGGCCAGTACCATTCTGTTTTGATTACTATATCTGTGTAGTATAGTTTGAAATTAGGATCATGGTATCTCTGGCTTTGTTGTTTTTCAAGATTGTTTG